GGTTACAGTGAAACCAGATTTTTGCTTCATGTTCTATGACCCAATGGGAAGTTACGAGAGTGTATTATATTATTATGTCGCGGGTTTAGGTCAAGATCAAGTTGTCTGATGGAAAAAGAAAAGTAATTTGATTACTGAGAAAGGTAAAGGCTAGAGAGACACATTTTCGGACGGACGGGCGGAGAGAGAAAAAGGAGTGGAGGTCGGGGATGTATGAGGTGAAAATGAGAGAGAGGCGAGAAAGTGAGGATCTATGGCGTGAGAGAGACAGACAGACAGAGGGAGACAGAGAGAGGGAGGAAGACAGACAGGCAGACAGAGAGGGGGAATTGGACCATTCCTGAACAGTGACACGTGCTCTCAAAATTTCGGCGCTTTCGGTCCTGTTGCCACGTGTTAATAACAAATCAATATTAGACTCTATATATGATGGTATCCCAAAACAAAAAAAGGGTAGTCTAGTCATGAGATTAATGCCCCCATCCCCGCATACCGATAGATCTAGGCATTAAATCACTTATCTTAAAAAGCATAGATTTCTAGATCGGTTCTTAATGTTATTCAGTGAGATGAAAGTAAGCTGATATGGTATCGTAAAACTATCTTTTATTAGCGAAATAACATGTTCAATGGATATATTATATGCTTTTGTTTTTAAGATCATCTTGATAATAATGGAATTTTGTCAGCAGTCAATGAAGTAGTCCAGGAATTTCTCGCTCTGGAGACAACTTTAGCTATCCGATTTTATATAGTGGGAGATGTCGTGTACTTAGTTAAGGAATTTGTTTTTCAAAAGTCAAGACGGTGAAAGTGAGAAGTTTTGATCTGTGCGTTTGGGGATTTGTAACATTCTATTGGCGAGGGTTTGAACACAGAACAAAGATATAATAACTTGAGTTAACAGTCTGTCAATCATGCAAAGAATTGCACATGACTGGTGGAAAGGGACTGACATCCAGAGATAGAAGAAGTGCACACAGACACTCACAGAAAGAAAGGGATGGGGGGAGAGAAATAAAAAAAAAGGGGGGGGGGGAGCAGAGTAGCGTTTAAGATAGATTGAATAGAAGATAGAAGGCAATATCGGAGGAGGTAATTATGCCGTTACTTGAGAAATAAATTACATGACAACACTTACTTAACTGGTTTTATCGTTCAGAAGATTTCCTCTTGGCTGTACACAATAGGCAAGTAATTTACTTCTGTATATCGATCCATGAACACAATGAGGTAGCTGCGTTATTGTTGGACAAATGATGGTTTATTGATGCAACATCTTGCCAGGCAATAGCAATGTTCTATGATAATTCAGGCTTTCGCGGGTTGTTACGTTTGTCTCCATAGCAGATACAATGGAATCAACTGGTCGAATAGAAGAATGGGGTGCGTGTAAACAGAACTTCTTTGATCTTGTTTCGCTTGTATGCTCATTTCGTTTATATGTTGTGTAAACAAAAGGATCGCAGTAAATGAGCTGCGCCGAGACGATGGACGAGTCCGTGCTGTCCGATGTACATTTTTTTAACCATCAACCAGCCCATGGCATCTCATTGTGAGCGTCTTCGAGCGCATCAAATGTTATCTATTTGCGTGCGTGAACATCTCTGCGTGCTGTGCGTGCGTACCAGCGCACATATTTATGGTGTCCAATACATCCTTTTTTCACCCCTATTATTATCAATAAGCTGGGATACTTATGACGCACGCTATCAATTCAACAACGTTTCCCCAGCGAAGCCTGTCCTGTAATCCTTTTCTAGCTGTTTCCATGATGTCCTCGTCTTTTCCATTTCCGCTTGTACCTCTCGCCTCCATGTCATCTTTGGTCTTCCTCTTTCTTACGTTTTCCTTGTTGATTCCACGACAAAGCCTGTCTGATGATGCTTGTCGGGGGGCATGCACCCATACGCACTATGAATCAATTTCTGTAACTTAAAAATTAGGTATATAGAGCCTACATATATTATAAATTTCCTTACAAGGACACCCTGAAAATGTTTCTGAAAGACGTCAGCCAAGACACTTCGACAGGTGAGAGCTTTGCCCCTGACAGACCCAGATGGAGAACAGCAGTCACAGTGGGTAGTACGATGTCATATGAGGCTTCACGAATAAGAAATACTGAAACCAAATGAGATGCAAAAGCCCAAAAGCTGCGCACATCCACGAGTGGAAGTGGAGCCTTTAAATGTTCAAAATGCAGCAAGCTTTTCTCTGCCACAACTGGTCTCATCGGCCACAGCAGAAGCCACAAGTCTTCGTAACCTTTAATTCTTCAAATTCTTTTATTTCACTGAAGAAATATTCTCCCCTGCGGATGTGTTGGGCATCGTCAGACATCGACGGACGAGCTATTATTTAATATTATCTTGCGTTTGTGTACGTGTGCATGTGCACATGTGTGCAAGGGATCTTCTGTTGAGACCGAGAGAGTAACTTAATGACCACATCCTTTGTTGTAATATGCTTGCTGTCAGTCTCGGCCCCGGATTATTCTGCGCATGCTGTCTGAAGAAACCTTGGCTGCAATTAGAGCAAGATGTGACTGACGGAACGTTTACTTACTTCGATACAGGCGCAGCTCCACTACGTGTAAACCTTTCTGTACCATATAGTGAAGGTGTCGGTAACCGTAACCTAGAGTGATAACATGCTTGACACGTGAACATGGATGTTGAACACTCGTTTGAGATAGGATAGGAGGTTTATCGGTGAACGGGACACGGAAAAACTGGGTGGAGAGACAGAACTGCAAGGGAGTTGATGACCGTTTCTTAAGTTCAACAGTTTTTGTTCACTCAGTTTTTGCATGTCCATATGTAGATAGGTAGGTTGGTAGGTAGGAAGGAAGGAAGATAGACAGGTAGGTATGAAGGAAGATATGTAAGTAGGTACGTAGGTTGTTGGGTGGGTGGATAGAAAGGCAACTCAGGTAAGCAGGCGGGTATTGCAAACATAATTTCACTTTCTACCTTGCTGACGGATGAGGCAGACTAGAAGCAGGATGATAGTAAGTCTTTCAGAGAAGACTGAGAACGGTTACTGCGCCTCTGTATGCTTTTGTTTACTGGAGCGAACTGAATCCGATCCTCGTGTTCTCTCTCTCTCTCTCGAGCTCTCTCAAGCTCTCCTCCTATCTATCTATCTCTCTATATATCTATCTGTCTCTCTCTCTATCTCATCCCTTCTCTTTCTCTCTCTCGAGCTCTCTCGAGCTCTCTCGAGCTCTCTCTCTCTCTTTCTCTCTCTCTCTATCTCATCCCCCCCTCTCTCTCTCTCATCCCCCCCTCTCT